AAAAAGTAATGTCGTGGATTATAAAGAATAAATGATTTCCGTTGAACGTTTGATCGCCGCGTGTGTTGGTTACATCAGAATTGAAATCGGCAATGCTGCTCAGTGAATATTAATCGGATAAAATTAAACATCAAAAAGTTACATTTTATAAGGTACCTACTAAATTATATTATGTATCTGCAGCGGGTTATAAAAATATCCACTTCAGTGACATTCGTATAAATCAGAGTTTTTGTATTTTTAATGCGCGTTGTCATATTACCGACGAACGGTAAGTTGAAGGTAATTTTTTTTACGATAAGTTGTTGTTTTCGGGATGGATCCCATTTTTATACTAAAAGGGTCGTTCAGTTTTTTCGAAAAAAGTCAACATGTTCGCATTGTTCATATTTGTTTCTTATTTGCATAATATTAATTCACAGCTCAAAACTGGAATTTATTTTTCTTTTAGTATTATTAGGTACTCTGTTCAAATAATTAGTATTGAAATTGTAATTTTTAAAGTCATATTAGACTTAAGCTTATTAGTTCACTGCAGTCTGATGGTGTATCGTATATGTGGTACACGTCAAACTTGCGCACATTATTGCCTTTCATATTTTACTTAGACTTGCCAATTTTGCCTCGAATATCACATATTGTGATACTTGGCCAGTATAGCTACTAAGTGCGTATACCTATATATGATACGCAAGGCGTTCGTATAGGCAGCCAAGTTGTTAATATTTAAGTGCCGAGGCCAAGGAATTATAATAATTAGGAATTAGGTTCACACATTATGGTTGTATAGCTTATATAAACGGAATTAGTTAGTAAATAAGTGACTTTAATTACACTCGTGTACACTAACAACAACACTATGATCGGTGTACATAATGTACACGTGTTAGTGGAATGTAAGGTATACAGTTACAAGCCTGTAAACACATCGCCGTCTTATTCATAACACGATTTATATTTAGTGTTGAAATAATAGTCATCAGGTAAACGAATTCGAGAAAAATAAAAAATAAAAAATGTGGAATTCGTACTTCATATTTGAAATGATCTAAAAGTGAGATGGGTGCGCATATTAATTTAATTATAATACAATATCATGTCGGTACAAATTTTGATTTTCGAGTTCATACGAAACGATTAGGTATCAAAATTCCATATTGCTCGTCGCTCGTGAACGAATTTGACTGAACGATATAGGTAATCATAATAATACTATATAGTGTTGTATACATAATATAATCGGGGGTATTTATTAATGAATACTTTTCTAAACTCGACAAACAATCTTACTCTATTCGCACAATAGAAGATTTGGCTGACGCAGTTACGAATGAAATGGAATTATAATTTGAAAGAAAATAATATTTATTTTTAAAACTATTATTATAGGTACTTACTTGTGCAGTTGTGTGTTTTCCAATATTGAGACGGCGATGGGGAAAAGCATGATACAAGTTGTAGGTAATTATGAACCTGTTAGTTATTATGTTCACTGTCACTGCAGTGATCACGGAATTTTTCATTCTAAAAACAATTTTATTATTACTAAAAACCACATGTGAGTAGAACCCTTTTAATCCAAATGTAAATATGAATTATGTAGTATATATACTAACCTGTAGTATTTTACTGCTAGTGAGTACTCTAGTTTCACAGTATTTTAACATTCGTCATTCGATGAATATTTTCTATCGAATCCATATGGCAAGTTCGTGACGTTTTTTTTTTATTGATTATAAAATAAATTTCATAAAATCATAAGCGACTTTACACAAATGGTATTATTATTATATATTAATGTGATTAAATCAACGGCGAACACGTATTCTACATTGGTGTACGCGACTTCATAATAAACACAAAATTGGCACAGTCGAACGTTTTAATTTTAGTTCGTCAATTATTATTTTATCTTCAATTTAACGTAATACCTACCTATATCATATACTAATATTGAATCACTCGTGTGTTAGTAATTATAGTACTGTCTAGTTATTTCTTTGTCGGTTTGTATGTTCGACCATGATATACTATCCTTGTGCATTGTTTTACAATAGGAATGTTGCTTAATTTGGAGTTACTTTAAAAAAATATAATACGAGCTTAGGAAATTTGACGACGTTATAATATATTAAATTTCCTAGATTAATTCATAAATTATTAATCCGTTAAATTCATTGTAAGTAATTTTTGAGAATTTAAAAAAAAAAAAGTAAACCCTCCATTGATCTTACGGATGTGATTAGTGAGGAGATAAAATAATTTCATTTTGATCGTATAATATGGTTGCGGTTAATCGACGGCTTTTAAAGGGAATTTTAATTATACGTGCGGCGGTGGTATTATTTTATTTCCCAGTCGTTATTAAATATATCAGTCAATGGTCATATAGTTATTTTCGCAATTGCGTTTAGCTCGTTTTCGATCATAATTCGTGCCAATACCTCAAAAAAAAAAATACGTACAACCAGGCACAAGTATTGAAAAATCGAATACCCAATAAAATAATACAGCCAGTTTGCGCGTGGCCGTTTCACATAAAAGCAAAGATAAAAACGTGACGAGTACGTAAATGCAATTCGTAAGGAATGGCAATTTTTTGTTCACAGACTTAAATAAATAAAAAAATAATAATATCGTCGGAAAATAAACACATCGCGGGCATTCAGACGAATTTATTCGAATTTCGAATGGTATTTCACCGAATTTTTCACCATTTAAACGAAAACGCTCTGAAGGGCGTTTATTTATAAATAACGCGTACCTGTTATAATAGGGTTATCAACATTTTCACTACTCCTCTATCAAAACTTTCTGCAGGTGATATGGCATATCTAAGTAATAATCACGTCGTGTGATAATTTATTGTTCACGATGGATAACAACTTTTACGTCGTTGGTGGGACCCGTGTCACCCAAAAATTACCTTTCCAAGTCTAGTTTGGATAACTTTAAAATTAAGTCGGAAATGGTTGCGTTTGGTTCAGTTAAATAATGTAGTGTACATTGCCTATGTAATTATATGTCAACATAATGTAGTATTCCAATCAATAATGTACTCATTTAAAACAACTGTTTTATGTAAGTATGTGTTTTTAATTTTTTATAAAATATATTGTAAAATAAATAATATAAGATTTGATAAACGTAACATTTTCAAATGTATAATGTGTATTGAATTTAAACATAGAAATAACTTTTTTGAAAAACAAAAAGTATTCCCGTCGTGCTGGTGTTCTCTAGATATTAATCTTTGCATTAGAAGACATTGGAACGCATTTGTTACACACATTAGGTAACAAAAAAATTAAGATAATTATTTATTAAACATGTATACAATATATAAAATAATAAACAAATAAAATATATTATTATATTTATGATAAATATAGTAACAAGTAAAATATTTCTTACTTCATGCTTATTAATTATTGTTTACAATCCATATAATAAAATTAGTACAATGAGTGAATTTGATATGTGGTTATTAACAGGAGGTCGTGTTTATGGGCAGGCACTCAGTACAGTAACACCCGACCAGGTCATCATTCTTAAAAAAATACATTATAAAATGCATCATATTATTTTTGAATGTTTTATACAAAAATTCGAATTTAAGTTGCATAAATTGTTGTTCTAGTGTTTTCATATTAAATGATGGACAGTATCATTATAGTGAGAATGAGAAACTTTATAAACATAACATTGAAATCATACAAATATTTTTGCTTTTTGTTCAGAATTTGAGTCTGTATGGATGCCAAGTAAGTAGTATATTATATTAAAAATAAGAACGTGAAATGGCTAATACATAATATTTCATTACAATTCTTTGTACTGTTCATTTCTTAAATAACTTAAAAATCACAATTTTTTCAGAAGCTTTATTTCTTATACATACATAATATTTAAACGTTCATTGAAATAAAGTCTGGAATAAAATTTTACTTCAAGATCTGCAAGTACTGTATTTATACTGCCTTGACATTAACATTATCCAAATAATAATCTTTTGTACTAATGTATTATTATAGAGTTATCACTGAAATACCACCCACAACGTAGTATCGACAAACGTGATAAAATAATATCCTATGCCGTGATATGTACCAGCTATTTAATATTAATTGATAGTAATCTTTGGGCGTGCTGGGAAAATCTGCGTGCGTGTTATCTATTCCAAATCCTTCCCCCTCGTTCGACGACGACGACGACGCAACGAATTTGAAATGCGATTATTATTATAATGTATCATCTTCATCGTCGTCATCATCATCATCTTCGTCGTCAGACATCAGTATAGATCATGATGTAAGCATGCGTGGCTGAATTGATATTAACGAGTATCCCACTAACTATTCACATGCGGCGGAATATTATTATTATTGTTATTGACATCGCATCAGCAGTATAATAATATTATAACATTTTTTATTATTATTATTTTTTTTTTTTTTTTGAAGAGCTGCGTGAGCGTATCGTCGAAACGGCGTACGGCGTAAGCAATATTGACACGCCGCCGGTCGTGTATATTATGGCCAGAGACCCATTCAGTTTTAGCGCCCGATAAAAATGAATTATGCACGTTTGCAATGTGTTCGCCCCCCATCGGCCGTGATCATAACGCCACCCCGATATTATAATAATGATAATGTTTTTGATGTGGTAATAAAAACCCATCGTGTATTTATTATCGTATATCATAATACAATATTATTATATCAGACGCATTCGAGAAACGATTTTGTAGACTTTTGCACGGAGTTCATTTGCGGCGGTGCAGAGTCTTCCGCTATATTGTTAGTCGTATCATCGTATCGCTATCATCGTTATGCTCCTACCCCCATACATATTACGACAGTAATGCTATGACGTAAAAAATTGTTTGATGTTATAATTTCGTTTACAGTTATATCACTGCGACCAAAGTCCGAGATGAAACGCAATGAGGGTTTACGTGCACGTGAGCTCCGACCAAGAACGATTTAAGCCAGACTGCTATGTGCAAGATTTTTGGTCCTTCCCGTCGATACGAACGAGATGTACGGCTCAACAAGGGGTTGAATAATCCTATAGAGTGTTTACAAATCAGTAGAGGACATCTTGTCCACCAAGAAGAGGATGTAGAGCGTGGGGGACAACTCGAGGAAAGGCATGGCGTAGATAAAGCTGGTCCCAATCGCTATAATGCGATGATGTGGAGGTGCCACACCAACGAAGTCTCTTCATCCCACCCCCACCTCCTATGGCACCATGAATGTGACGACAATCACGGAAGATCCTGCACGATGCATTGTGTGCAAGGTCGGCTTGAAGATGGTTCGAGCTTTGCAGTAGCACTTGGCCCCGAGGGCCTGCAATTGCAAAAATTAATTATCGGGTCCATAGTTCATGTATTTATCTAATGTTGAAATTCATCGATAGGCTTAAAAACGGACTCTGTCTCTGAGGAGGACCCAAACACCTATCACCCACTAAATAGTCTCTTCAAAACTATTTCGTACACATTTTTTGTACACAATATTCGTGTCACCGATACTCAGCAAGCCGGCCTTTATTGTATAATTTGTACAATAAACGACGCGGCTAACGGCGCAGTCTCCACCTCGGTTGCGATATCAAAGGAAAAAAAGTTACCATCATGACAAACTGAATAGGAAGGTCCAAAAAAGACGAATCCATTCTCAGAAGAATAAATAAAAATAAAAATGTTAACGACCGCTTTTGCATACATGCACCGTTGAAATAATATTATATTGTATCGTTGTCATGCCAACGTAGTAAGGTAAAATGAAATTATATTTCAAATTTTAGAAATTGTTTTTTTTTTTTTTCGTAAATATTCCCGAGAAATAGATACACTATCCACGCCCGCTATCGCTTACCGTATTATATTCATCCACTTCACCAACCACGTCTCACGCCATAGAAAAATTCAATTTATTTTAAATACATTCCTATTTGCCTATACGGTAGTTGAATTGTCACACTTGGCTTTAGACGCAAAAACCACTGACTGATATTGATTGTGTAGTGTGTACAATACTTTTGAGAATATCGAGATGCACTTGAAAGCGACATAAGTAATATGTTTCTAAAGTATAATTCCTATTGGAAATGGGTTTCTTCTGAAAAAATATACTTTTTGATTAATACTGCTGTGTTTCGATGGATTATTTTATTACATACGGCTATCGTGGATTATTAATGGCTTAAAATAAAAACCCTGAAAAAAACTGTATACAATATAGATTATATAGGACGGATTATTATAGTCTACAATAATATTATAATCCATCCGAGTCGATCACAAATTAAACATTCACGTCCACAATGTTTTGGTTCATAATGATACGCGTGTTTTGTCAGTAAATAATATAAAGTTCTATATGACGTGTAAAGTAGCGAATTCTAGGCTTGCTCGTGGGTTTAGACGTATATGAATCTCAGTGACACTGCCATAGTTTATTTTTTTTTTTTTATGGCGTGTACCATTAACGAATTCAATTACAAAGACTTTCTAGGACATTTATTTATTGTATGAGATTACTTTATTTTTTTAAACGAACTGCAAAATATACGATAATTAAATATTTTAAAAATGGTAGCGACACCCGGATGAACGTGGAAATAGAGGATATTATCCTCTATATCTACCACAATATTATTTCTGCTTTCGGTCGTGCCGCTGAACACTTACACACACACTTTACTTGGAATTCAAAAAGGCCAAGTGCGGCGACCAGAATAATATAATTATCATAACGTAAAATTGATATACATACTTTAATTTTATCCAACACTTAACCTTCGAGCGTCCTCTAAGCTCCTAGCCACAGTGAAAACAATATGTGTGTCACCGTACTCTTATGCCGATCAATATTTCCTTTAAGCCTAAATGAGCGTGGCGTTGCTCTCTACTCTTTTTTTTTTTTGATTAACGCTAATGACTTGCTACTAATGAGTTGATTAATCTGGGGGAGAGGTGGATGGGGATGTGAGCAGGGCTCGGCTAGAACGGCCTCCCTCCGTGTTTTTAACTACATTAACATCATAACTGAAAAGAAACACGTAATTAACGAAAAACGAACATTTTAACCAGCTTTGTGGACGATAATTTTCATTCACGATGCTTATATTTTTACGTCATAATAAAACTCAGTTTGTATAGTATCGTGGAAGCTATAATTAGACAACGTGTACGACGAGTAAGTTTTTTAGAAATATCTTACACTTTAACTGTGTAGGTAGTGAATGTACGATTTTATGAAATTATAAGCTCAATTTTCTTGCGGTTCATCTGTATTTGTTTTTTGTCCCGAAGAAAATATTACTCATCTCATAAGTTGATCTCAAAAATAAATATATCGATCACGACCCCCGCCGATTTATTGGCTCTAAATATTAATCGATTGTAACCGATTACTAGCGTTCGACTCTCGTTTGGCACTGAAATCATCGCACCTAATCGTCCTCCTTGGGTTGTCGTATTTTATTCCCAGCACACATGTAATTTTGAAACAATGTTTTCAAGTACTTGTATTAAAAGATGTATATGCTAAAATGTGAGTAGTAAAAAAGTGCTTACCTTTTTTATTTAAATACATTTCGTTAATAAGAAAAAGTCATACGAATGATTGAATACCAAATACGATTTTCTAAAACATTTGAGTTCGATTGAAACACAAAATCATTTTTTAGTGTACATTTCTACAAATATATTGTCTGCTCTGTTAAGTGTAAATATTACTACACAGATTATGATGTCGGACGTCTTTATTGGAAACAATACTCTGGTTAATGCATCTCTAATAATGCTTGCTAATAAAAACATAATTTGAAAAAAAAAGCGTTGGGGTAAAAATCATCGAATTTATAAATAGTCCATCATAGTGTCCACAGTTTTAGCGAAAAACACTCAAACACTATATGCATAATTTACAGTCTTTGTATTGTGATAGAATAACAATACAATAATAATATTATAATGTAGTTCTATATCTTATCGTTGTTAAATAGGTATCGTATATTATAGTAAGACGGTATTTCGTTATTCCTACGAAATACAACGTTGGCTTTAGTCCATCATCACACAGTACACCAAATTGTTGTCTTTTCTAACAAAAAATTAGATACGTAGTCCATGTGTAATTTTTGTCAGAACCTAGTAATTATCATAATATTTCACGTGAGGCGCATCGAGTAAACATGTTTACCACTTATTCCACAGAAATTTGAATAAAGTTTATTTAGTATAATATTATTTATTTCTATTCGCTTTCTCTTTATTTTCAGTTTTACCACTAATATATTGTGAATTATTTAATAAACGCTTAAGAGTTAAGAAGCATAAAATTGACTGAATAATCGCTAATAATAAGAAAAAAAAATTAGAAACATAGTAGTATATGTGACGAGCGTGATTGACTCAACGACATTCGGTTTCGGAAGTAAGTACCCAGATGTTGAAATATTTCTGATTCTTATACATAATTTTCGAAAACGCATTTCATGCTTTTCTGTTCTTTAAATAAACTAGTAATTTGCCGTTTAATTGTACTGTGTTAAATAATAATATTTATTGACTGACCGTGACGAGTCTGAAAGACTTAAATTTATCGTATTGAGTTGAAAATACTTCAAGTCCAGATGGTTTAACGATTTTCTGAAAATAGCTTAGCTGCAAATGTTAAATAGTACACAAATTATATTTTATAGGTTTTGAAAAGATATTTGCTTACAACGTTTAAACTGCCAAGTGCGTTTATATTACGTATTTCCGTGGATTTTTCACACGTAACAAATTCCGAGATTCGAAATAATTTTATAAAAGTAAAAACCCCAAAGTGATAATTACGTCCGGGACTTTTGAATCCGCTTCCTCAAAAGTTTTGACAAACGTTTAACGAGATAGAGGGAAAAGTTTTGTCACGAAAGTTTTACGGAAGACCGTGAGTTTCGGGTGAGTACAAAACAAGTTACTTCATTTTAACTGTGAAAAAACTAAAAACTATTTTACTATTATTTATTATATTATACCACGGCGGTGAAATGATTAATCTTTTCAATTAAATTTAATTAAATCTTGTTCGCAGTTTTACTTTTTAAGACACCAATGTGATTTATAATATTTATAACCTACCTACTCTGTGCGGGCTAATAGCAAAATGTCACGTGTCATAAAAACCGTGAAAAAATAAATATATTTTTTTTTTATATATTGACTATGACTCCTCTGCAATAATATAATATTATTAAATTAACGATTGAATTCAGTAAGTTAAAAAATCAATCGCAATTAAAATATAAATTTTCAAGCTGTATTTCTTCAACCCGCTGTGCTTGATCATACTTATCTTTGAACTTAATCGTGCATAAAATCCCAGAGTAATGTTGAATGTTCAACTCTACAGTGTATATTCGTCATCAATTCATCATGTATTAAGCATCGGTAAAATTGTTTACATTTTCTTTAAAAGGAAATAAGCATTTCTCGTGTATTGCGATACGCACCGTTACTGAATGTACTTACACTGCTATTAAATTTATTAGTAACCCTTTTAATGTACTCTTTAGGCATACGACGTTTGTTAATTCCGTGCAAGAGTGCACTTATTACCTATGTACATATTATAATAATATAAATCATACATTATGCATTCCGTTTTTAGTTAAACACAATACCGCGTCAAACTGTGCTTAGATTTTAATTCGAATGCACAAACACATAATATTCTATACACATATATATATATATGTTTTATGTGCATACATGTATAAACAAGGAATTTGTTTAGGAGTCTACGCTGATTTTGAAATTTTAAATTGAATACTTGTGTATAATATTGTCAATTGTCAATCAAAAAAGTAAAATCTAAAAATATCTACATTTTTTTTTAAAAATGTTGCTTTGCGTTGACATTTAATTATTTAATGTAAGTGGTTAAAATATATATTATGGCCAATACATATTTTCTGGTGTTCGTAAAATAGATTTGATACGGTAAAACGTGTTATATTACTCATAATAGATTGGCTCGGTGGGCCTGCTATCTCTGAAAGAATAATATCTATTATGTTTACCTAAACGTACCTAAGTACATTTTTACCAAGCTTAATATCAAAGAACATAGTCAATTTTTTTTTTATCAGAAAAGAAGGTTCAACGTCAGATACGATAAAATTACATCTTTTTTTGTGAAGAACCAATAACAATCAAATTCAATTAATGTACCATTAATTATTATAAGCACTATTTACTATACTGAATTATACATATATATATTTTCAAAGTTCGGAAACCGTAAATTGTTTACGGTTGGAATTTGGAATCGTATATAATCTGTGTTTAACATGCATCGACTCGGGACGAATTTAATTTAACTAGTTACTGGCTAATTATCAA